CTCCAAAATACTTGTAACTCCACTTTCTTTATCCCTGATGCCGCCTCCCCTTCATTTATTCAGCCTCAAATTTCCAAGTGCAGTGAGGGACCTGGCTTTATATTCCAATAATTCTAAGAATAGAGTAGCTGCATTTTTATCAGATGGCTCTTTGGGTGTTGTAGAACTTCCTGACCCAGATACATGGGAGGATCTTGAAGAAAAAGAATTTACTGTTGAAGTTTCTATTTCTGAGACAGGTTTTGGATCCTTTGTGAACCTTACATGGCTGGATTCACACATATTACTTGCCGTTTCTCATTATGGCTTCTCTCATAGTAATTGTGCATCCCACAGTTCAATGGGTGATGATGGACTTAGTGGTTTTTGTTTGCAGGAAATTGAACTTTTGTGTTCCGAGGATCATGTACCAAGTTTGGTAACAGGATCAAGCTGGCATGCAAAGATTTCCCATAGAAATTATTTGGAAGGGCTTGTGATTGGCATTGCTCCTAATCCTGCCAAGAAACATTCAGCTTTTGTTCAGTTTGATGGTGGAAATATTGTTGAGTACACTACAATGTTGGGCTTGGCTGTTACTGGAGGTTCAACAAAACATGATGATATGAGCTTTTCATCATCTTGCCCTTGGATGAGTGTGGCTAAGGCCAGTGATAGTGGGTCATTAAAGCCCTTGCTTTTTGGTCTTGATGACATTGGGAGGCTGCATTTTGGTGGGAAAGTACTATGCAACAACTGCAGTAGTTTCTCATGCTACTCAAATTTGGCTGACCAAGTAATCACTCATTTGATACTTTCAACCAAACAAGACTTTCTCTTTGTTGTGGAAATCGGTGATATACTGCATGGAGACATAGAGTTAAAATACTAGAACTTTGTCCACGCCGGTAACAGAAGAAAAGAAGAAAATATGAACTTCATAAATATTTGGGAAAGAGGTGCCAAAATTATTGGTGTCCTGCATGGTGATGCTGCTGCTGTTATTGTACAGACAACTCGGGGAAATCTGGAAAGCATTCACCCTAGAAAGCTGGTTCTTGCTTCAATTGTCAATGCTTTGATCCAAAGGCGTTTTAGGGATGCACTGATGTTGGTCAGACGGCATAGAATAGATTTCAATGTTATCGTTGACTATTGTGGATGGCAAACTTTTCTTCAGTCAGCTTCAGAATTTGTCAAACAGGTGAACAATTTGAGCTATATAACCGAATTCATTTGTTCCATAAAGAATGAAAACATTATGGAAACCCTATACAAAAATTATATCTCTACACCCTGCCAAAACAGAGCTGGCGATGTTCAAGCTAAGGATGTCATGAGCTTTGATAGTTCCAGCAAGGTTTCTTCTCTCCTCCTGGCAATAAGGAAGGCTCTTGAGGAACAAGTCACCGAAAGCCCTGCAAGGGAGCTTTGCATTCTAACCACTCTAGCTCGCAGTGATCCTCCTATGCTTGAAGAAGCTTTGAAAAGAATCAAAGTTATTCGTGAAATGGAATTATTAGGTTCAAGTGACCCTAGGAGAACCTCTTATCCATCTGCTGAAGAAGCTCTGAAGCATCTGTTGTGGTTATCTGATTCCGAAGCTGTATTTGAAACTGCCTTGGGACTTTATGATTTGAACCTTGCAGCTATTGTGGCAGTGAACTCTCAAAGAGACCCAAAGGAATTTCTTCCTTATCTACAAGAATTAGAACGCATGCCAAGCCTCGTAATGTGCTACAACATTGACCTTCGGTTACACCGGTACGAGAAGGCTCTCAGACACATTGTTTCTGCTGGTGATGCATATTATTCAGATTGTATGAGCCTCATGGACAAAAATCCTCAATTATTTCCTCTGGGTCTTCAAATGATTACTGATCCTGCAAAGAAAATGCAGGTCCTTGAGGCCTGGGGCGATCATCTTAGTGATGAAAAATGCTTTGAGGATGCCGCGATAACTTATCTGTGTTGTTCTAGTTTGGAAAATGCCTTGAAGGCATATCGCGCTTGTGGTGATTGGAGTGGGGTGCTTACTGTTGCTGGGCTCCTTAAACTGGAAAAGGATGAGTTAATGCAACTTGCTCATGATCTTTGTGAAGAGCTCCAAGCACTTGGTAAACCAGGAGCAGCTGCCAAAATTGCTCTGGAGTATTGTGGAGATGTTAACAGTGGGATTAATTTATTAACTAGTGCAAGGGACTGGGAGGAGGCTTTGAGGGTTGCTTTCATGCATAGGCAAGAGGATCTGGTATTGGAAGTGAAGAATGCAGCTTTAGATTGTGCAAGCACACTAATCAGTGAACACAAGGAAGGCTTGGAGAAGGTCGGGAAGTACTTGACTCGCTATTTAGCTGTTCGACAGAGAAGATTACTTCTGGCAGCAAAGCTTCAGTCAGAGGAAAGGTCAATGAATGATCTGGATGACGATACTGTTTCAGAAGCTAGCAGTAATTTCAGTGGCATGAGTGCCTACACCACAGGGTATCTCTTTCTGAACGTTGTGTCGTACTAGCTTAGTGGTTCAAAGCCTGATTTTGTTGGCTGTAATTCAGATGTGTGCACTTTGCTACAATCCTATGATTTTCATGCCCACGAATATTATGATAGTTCACCTTAAGTTAATTTTATTCAGAAAAAACATTTCACGTCAACTTATAAACAACAAAATGTTAGAATTGGTGGCAGAGCACGTAGTTTCATTGTGTCCTTTTCATATTTTTTCTGTCATATCTGTTATTCAACTTTTCTTCTTGCATTTGAGTGGTTTCAACGTAGCTTTCCTGGAAACTTTTTGTCTTGCCTGTTCTGCTTGTCTCTGTTGAATTGCCATTTTAGATTTTTTATGCAACTGCTCTATTTTGTCTCTCTTGCAACCTGGTGTTTGAACTAGTCTTGAAGCTACATTAGTTTAGCATGATCAATTTATCCCAACTGGCATGCCAAGTTACTTGTTTTTCTACTTAGTTTCTCATGCATCCAAATGATTCTGGTTATGCCAATCCAAGTCGCTTCATGTGGTTGCTTTATCTCATGAACAGAACAAGGAAGGGCTCTGCTGCTTCTGTAACCTCCAGTGTCTCTAGCAAGGCAAGAGACATGAGGCGTCAGCGGAAGAGAGGAAAAATTCGCCCTGGCAGGTATGCATCTTCATTCTTGATTCCCAGATTCCTTTCCCTCTTTTCTTATTCAAGAGCCCTTGCATGAAATATTTCTTGACATTGTAGCCCTGATGAGGAGTTAGCACTGGTAGAGCATTTGAAAGGCATGTCTCTAACAGCTGGAGCAAAGAATGAGCTTAGATCTTTATTGTTTACCCTTGTGAAGCTTGGTGGTGAAGAAATAGCAAGAAAGCTTCAATTGGCTGGAGAGAATTTTCAACTTACTCAGATTGCAGCAGTCAAACTGGCAGAAGATACAATTTCTACTGATATCATAAATGAGCAGGCACACACTTTGGAGCATTACATTCGGAAAATGAGAAGTGAACTGCCAAATTTAGATTATTTTTCTTGGCGATCTAAAGTTTTCATTTCTCCTTAAGAGGTAAGTATTTTAAATGCCCCAACAATGGCTATGAGCTTATGGTTAGATATACGTGGATTTGCTCCTCTGTGTGGCTACCTTGTAGACGAGGCGTGCAAGTGTACAGTGAATCGATGGTTTTAACCAAAATTGATGCTCGACTCCTGCAACAATGCCCTTTATGCAGCTGATATAATTAAATTAACATGTGTCAAATGTATATCTACATATTTTACTCTAAATCATTCAAACCTTGCTTTCATATCGGTAATGGGTTATATCTCATAATTAAATATGATTTCATTTCAACTTAACCTGCCCTGTTGGTACAGGTGCTATTATTGCTGGCCATGTAGTTCCAAAATCCGAATGGTGGTCCTGTATGCATGCTTGTGAGGAATCGGTGGTGAAGATGGTTTTGGAGGGAGGAATACCGAAGAATGAGGCGGATTGTTTTCCTGGAAGTTTTTAAATAATTTCGTTCTTGGCTTTGTGTCGGCTGCTTCATGTGCTTTCCTTGCAGCTGGGCTCGGCCGTGTTTCTGTTTGTGTTGTTTTTTATGTATCATTTTATTACTGGTGGCTAGTAGCTGAGTAGTTTTCATTTTAATGTGACTAGTATTTTGATTTTACGAGTAGCTATGAAGGCCTTCGTGGCTACTTCCTACCCTTGTGTTCGAGAATTTCCCCTTTAAACTAGTTACTAGTTTGCTGGTCTTGAAGTGGGCTTAAAGCCTTAAAATTGAGATGTTGCGAGTCATGAATTTAGCACCGATCCAAACCCAAGTAGTCAGCAAGGAGCATGATGTGCTCTGTTTTTGACATTTCATTGGCGCCTAGGGAATTGATTTGCAAAGATTATAGCTAGTGACCCATCAGAAAGGCTGGAGCATGATGAAATATACCGACTTATATTTTAATTTCTACTCTGTCCACAGAATTTATATATTTTTTAAGGACGAGTTGCATTCCTTGCTGACTTTTTATGCGATTCTGTGAGGTCCACTCTACAGCAAAAGAATCTGGTAGAAACATGATTGCTTTGCCATTGTTGCCGTTACACAACAGCACAGTCCACACATCTCCAGATGCTTGCTCTCAAAATCTCGTTTCTACAACTTTACCACTCCTGGTGGCACCAAGAACCGACCATGACGGTGATTGCTAAAAAAAATATTAAAAAAGCTGCACGCCAATCAAAAGACACAGCCAGTAAGAAGACCGAGCTTGAACCGGAAAAGACAGGGACATAGCAACGGGCACACCATCAAGCAAAAGCTACACGGGTAAATTTTCTAGCAAGCACATATCAGCAAACTTCCACTGTCTGTCTGTCTATCTGTCTCAAATGAAACATTGAGGTTCATTTCTCCAAGGTGACAATATCTGACCATTCAACGCTTGGGGATACCACTCAGTGACCTCTAAATTCATTATCAAGGTTTAACATATAATTGAAATTATCACAATTATGCATGACTCTCTTTGGTTTATTCATTATGGACAATGAAATGGTACATAATTTAATTGAAAGTAGGGTAAAAGACTAGTACGAGTGCAACATATAACAAAAGCCTTCAAAGAAATCAAACTGAACTATACCCCCACAGAACATCATATAACTGTATGCAAGTATCACACTGGAGGGGATACTCGCCCCATGAATCCACAAACATAACAGAAGGCAAATTCTAGGTGCAGATACATAAACATACACTTAATGAACCCAATGATATGGACTCCCTTGCATGGTAGGCAATGTATTTTAATTCGAACGGCTTCTAATAACATCAAGCCCCATCTCTGTAGGATCAGTAGCTTGCAGCTCAATCTGAATACCATCTAATTCTCTCTTAAACCTGTCCTTGGAGCTTGCATAAATCATCTTGCTTCTCACCCTAGCCGTGTCAGGGGACCTTCATACATGTAAAAGCAATAGAACAAGCAAACAGTCGACAGAAATCAGACAAGAAAAATGGTAACATAAGCAGTTGATAAATTCTATGAAAGGTAATCAATCACCATGCAATAAAAACAATCCTGCTCTTCTGGCAGTTCTCCTCTGTTACATAATCAAAGTCATAAACAGCATATCGGCACTCATCAGCAGGCAGACTGGCAGAGAAATTTTCATAGCTATCAGCCGGCTCACCAAGCTTCTCCACAATCACCTGCTTTTGCTTCTCCTCGATCTTGAAAACAATGAAACGGTAAGTCCTTTTTGCCTTCAAATCCAAAAACCTCAGCTTGCAGTCATCATGCACAGCCATCCCAGATGCTGCGTTTGCCTGCAGATGGGATGAACAACTAGTAAGCAACACAGTTATCTGCACCACGAGTTATTAAACTTTGCTACCTGCTTGATAAAGTGCTACAGGTCAAAGTGCATTCCTGTGGGACTATCTATTTACAAATGCAGCTGCTTTACAGCCTGAGACGCAGTTCATCAAAGAAAATGAAAGCTTCATTGCACCTATAACTATTGACCAGGCCCTACCCCTATATATGTTAGGAATTGGTAATACTCACAAACCTTCCTCCTCAACATAAATTCCCACATTACACCTCATCTTTTTTTCATAGACAGATACTTCGAATCAATAACAATCATCAAAGTACAGTTCACAATGACGACAAAGTCCTAAAGAGAAATACACTTCTGATTAATTCCCAACTTCATTTCTAAGCTTTTATCACATCCTTCACAGTTAAAATGACAAACCACCAGAACCTTCAATCTAAATCATCAATCCCACTTTTTCACGAATTTTTCAATTTATCCCAAAAATTCCTGCTTTCAAATCCTATTTTATTCATCCAACCGAGAAGAGAAAAAAATATAAACCCAAATGCGAAAAAGATTAAATATATATATATATATATATATATATATATATATATTCAGAAAATAATTTTTT